GAACTAAATAAAGCATAGTACTGTTTGGACATGTTTCATAAACTCAAATATGCTGGGAGAATATTAATTGACATGTTATATTGTCAATATAAATATAAATAAATATTTATATAAAGATATAAAAATATAAATGGGATGCCGTATGTCTAAAGTCTCTGGCGAGGCTTCAGTGAGTGCCTCCAGGACAGAACATCAGGTCATGGTTGGAGGATGTGCCCAGGTGATTGTTTGGCATCCAGTGGCTTACCCTGACCATTTCTCATAGAGCACACTCCTGAGAGCATGACCACAGACCACCCTCACCAGAACTACCTCAGGAGCTCATGAAAATGCAGACTTCCAGACCTTTCTATTTAGAAACCCCAGGGGGTGTGACCCAAGAATCAAACTCTTTAACCAGCACCCCAGCCTTACCAGGTGACTCTGATACACATGAAAGTGTGAGAATCACAGATCCAATAGTGACTCCAAAATGTTGGTTGATTTACTCCATAGACAATACTTGGGCACTATCTTAGTCTGTTTTGTGCTGATAAAACAGAATACCTGAGACTTGAGACTTGGTACTTTATAATGAATAGAAATATATTGTTCATGGTTCTGGAGGCTGGGAAGTTCAAAATTGAGGGACTGGCATATGGTGAGGGCCTTCTTGCTACATCATCCCCTGGCAGAAAGTGAAAGAGCAGAGGGAGGGAGAGACACAGGGAGAGAGAGAGAGAGAAACGGTAGGGGGGCAAACTCATCCTTTAATAAGGAACCCATTCTCATGATAAAGGCACTAATTCACTTATGAAGGCAGTGCCTCCACGACTCAAACACCTCCCATTGGGCCCCACTTCCCAGTACTGTTGCATTGGGGGTTAAGTTTCCAACACATGAACTTTGAGGGACACATTCAAACTATAGCACAAATAGCTCCTATCTCCTGCCAGGAGCTATTTGTAGGGGACACTTCTTTGGCAGCAGGAGAGACACACAGATGAACAGCGTCCTCTGCTGTCATATACCAGATACTTAATGAAGACATGTAGTCAACACTGAAATCTGTAGGCCACATGAGGGGGCCAAGGATGAGGGTCTTGCTAGCATTCTGCTCTGTTTCCTTCTCTGGGAAGCAAAGCTAAACATACACATTACCTTATGTAGTTATCACCACAGCTTTGAAAGGTAAATAAGAAAACCTAGCCTCAAGGATGTTGAGTAACTTGCCCAGTGTCCTATGAAGTCAGTGTGTTGTTAAATGTTTAACCACAGGCTGTGGTGTTAGAAGCCCTGATTGTGGAGTTTGCTGATTTCTATAGTGCAAAAACTCTCATTGTGGTGGATTTTAAGGTACCAACATGCTGTCACTGAAGCAGAGATGGAGAGAGATGCCCATAACGGGCCCTTGTGAGCTGGTGTGAGCTGGCTCCAGAACTCCACTGTCTGCAGTTGTCAGTCACTCAAATAACTGTCAATGAGTGTCATCTGTGGACACACAGAGAAGAGAGGGCATCTTGTTTCTGCCCTCCTGACACCTCATTTCATGAGCATTCAATAAAGTTTGGATGTTTGTCCCCTCCAAATCTCATATTGAAACATAATCCCCAATGTTGGAGGTGGGCCCTGGTAGGAGGCAAAGGTGATTGGGTCATGGGGGCATATCCCTCATGAATGGGTTGGCACCATCCTGAATGACTTCTCAGACCATGAGGGATCTGATGGTTTAAAAGCCTGGGATCTCCCCCTTCTCTTTCTTGCTTTCACTCTTGCCATGTGACATGCCTGCTCCCACTTTGCCTTTAGCCATGATTAGAAGCTTCCTGAGGTCCTCATCAGAAGCTGAGCAGATGTTGGAGCCATGATTGCACACCATGCAGAATCATGAGCCAGTTCAACCTCTTTTCTTCATCAATTACCCAATCTCAGGTATTCCTTCACAGCAAAGCAAAATGGCACAATATGGCGTCTACAATGTGCTTGGTACTATGTGAGGGAGATACTTAAGTATAATGAGGTCCCTACCTTCAGGGGGTAGAGTCAACCACATCCTTGCTTGGCTTACTTTATCTAGTGGCTTGAGGCCCAGGAATGTCCAGTCACCACTGGCCACACTGGGAGGCTCCAGGATAGGGCTGTCTGTGTCCAGGACAGGGACCTGAGGTTGCTGACATGGTGCAGGGGGTCACTGCAGGGCAGTGTCTCACAGAGTTGAAGGGGGCTGCAGGGGCTCTGAGAGCTGCCCCTGTCTGTCCATCCCCACCCCTTCCCCACAGAGTCTTGGTTGAGAACAGAAGGGCCACAGTCCCTGCACATTTTCCTGAGGATAGGCAGGGGTACCCTGTGTCCAGGGTCTCTGTGGCCTGGACCAGGCCTGCCAGCTGGCACCCTCCCCATTTTCTGAAGAGTTCTGGCACGTTATGTCAGGCAGGTCCCTCATAAACTAGAATGTGCTGCCTCACCAGTCTCAGGGCAGATGGGTGTGTGGCTTCAGGGCTGCAGAAGGCAGCTGCTGGAACTTGGAGCAGGACCGCAGAGTATCCACCACACCAGGGCTGCTATCTAGGCTGGTTGTGGACAGCCTGGCATGCCCAGGTGGGAGCAGTTAGGGTCAGATAAAGGCCTCTCCCGGCTGGAGAGATGCCCAAGGGATGTTACAGAGAGCCTCGGGGTCCCTGCAGCAGGCTCAGGATACAGTGGAAGCTCTGGATGTAGGGCGAGGGGAAGAAGGTACTGTGAATCGAGTAACCCCAGTCGTGTAGCAGCTGTTCTTGGGACAGGCAGGCTGGGACACTCATGTCAAGGTCTGCCAGGATGGCATGCAGGCGGGGACAGGTGGCACTGGGGCGTGAAGGTGTCCAGGCATCCCTTCCTTTTCTCAGAGAGATTTCCTTGACTCAGCCTGTCTTTGACACACACGGGGGGATGGAGGATGATGGGGGAAGGGAGCGACAGTGAGCCAATCACCCTGCACCAGAGCCTTCAGGGCTGGTTCCCTCTGAGCCTGTAAGTGTGAGTGTGTGTGCGCGAGTGTGTCTGTGTGTGCACCAGGGGGGATTTCTGTGATAGAAGCAGCCAGATTCCAGAGACAGAGAGAAGAGGAGGGGGAAGAACGAGAGGGGGGAGAAAATTGGGGGTGGGAGAGACAGACGGAGAGAACAGCGCGGGGGGCGGGGAGAGGGAGAGAGGTGGAGGGGAGAGCAGAGAGAGAGCGCGAGTGAGAGAGCAGAGAGGGAGGAAGAGAGAAAGCAAGAGAGCGGGAGGGTGCGCGGAGCGGAAAGGAGACAGAGCTCGCGGGGATGGGGTGAG